TAGAGCAAGAATTAGTAATACACACAGAATTGGAGGCACAGAGGCCAAGACTCATTAAGTGACTTGTCCAAGGGCATCCAGTAAGGATGTGACAGCTAATTATAGAATCCAACTATTCTCTCTGAGCAGGCTGGCCCCTCTCCTGGGCAATCAAGCAACAATATTGCTAGAGCCACTCGGGGAAGCATACTAGAGAGGGGGTTATGAGGAGCTAGGAGGTTAAAGAGAACTCAGACACAGTCTGTTAAGAAAGCCACAGAGAGACAAGAAGGCAGCCTGCTAGCTAGTTTGTTTGCCTCCATAGAGACAAACTAACTCAAACAATTGAAACATTATAATCATGTCTGTTTTCCGTGTTTCTCTGTAAAAACTTTTCCATTCATGTTTGTGAAAGGTTTTAAGAAAAATGCAAAAAAAAATTACTTTTCTTAAAAAACCTATTTTGATGTAAATTCTTGTTCATTTTCGCAGATTATTAGTATTTTCAGCAAAAAGTCATAGCTTTACTAAAAATCCATTTCAACACAAATTCACATTCATTTTCATAAATTTTTAGCATTTTCAGCAAAAATTAATTGCTTTACTATAAAACCTATTTTAATATAAATTCACATTCATTTTTGCAGATTATTAGTATTTTCAACAAAGAAGTAATAGCTTTACTAAAACCTTTCAACATAAATTCACATTAGTTTTCATAAATTTTTTATCATTTTCAAAGAAAGTAATTGCTTTACTCAAAAGTAACTGTTTCAATGCAAGTGCACATTAATATTCATAAATTTTCAGTATTTGTTGAGCGCTGCTGTTATAAGAAGGTGGAAAACTGCCAATATATTTTCTTCATATTTTTCTCAAAAAAAAATGTTTTTTTGCTGGACAAAACATACCAAAAAAACTTTTGAATATGACAAAGATAAACACGTCACACCACCTAAATCACACGTGGAATTAATGAATACACAAAGATTTTACCATCCGGGACCCATAAACAAGCTACTTTAATTATGATTTCAACAAGATGTTTGCTTCTTGCTAGGATTTAGACACATATGTAGCCAAATGAAATGCACTGGCTTCACATAAATCTCTCTTAGCTTCTTTGGTGAGTATGTTAAAGTGACAACATTGTCACTTGTGCCTTACAAAAAATGACTTGCTATTGATAAGGAGGGAATGGGGGAACTTACTTATTAAGAACTTAACTATGTTCCAGGCACCATACTAAGCGCTTTACAAACATTATGTCATTTTATTCTCTTTTGATAGATCTCTTTTATAGCGTGAACTTTTTTAGTGATCTCATTATTACATCTACAAGTTCCAAAGAAATGTTTTCTTGTGCCTAATTCAGATTCAGATTTATAGTCCAAATCTGCTACAATTGAATATGCAGATGATATGAAACTAATAGGAGATCTGTCAACCAAATATAGCTTCCTTCCCTTAGGAGAGCGATGAACGGTTTCTTCCAAAGGATTGAGTTATTCCAACCCCTTGATTCACTCTTTTCTCCCCAGTTTCACACTCTAGCACTTCTATGAGACTACGAGGGAGAAAACAGCAAAACAGAGGCACTCAGAATGAACTTGGTTGTTCACATAGTTTTGGAGGCTGGGCAGTTGAGCTATGCTGGAAGGCAATAGCCCTAATGAGGACACTAATTTCTCTCCAACTCTAAGCCTGCTTGTAGACAGTAAATTAAAACAGGGAAAGCTGAGATCTCTGGGACGGTGTTCCTTAAGCTGCCCTTTATGTTATGGTTGTGAAGACAATAATGGGAAGCTAGGTGGCACAGAAGATAGAGCACTGGGTTCAGAATTAGGAAGACTCATGTTCATGAGTTCAAACTAGCCCCAGATACTTACTAGCTGGGCAAGTTCCTTAACCCTGTTTGCCTCAGTCCTTCGGCTTTAAAGTGAACTGGAGAAGAAAGTGGCAAACTACTCTAATATCTTTGCAAAGAAAATCCCAACGTGGAATCACCAAGAGTCAGACACGACTGAAATGATTCAACAACAAAGATGATAGCTTTGATTGAAAAGCCAGTAAGAAACCCAGGTGAGAACCCTTCATGGCAGGAGCAGTGAGGAATCTGGTTTCATGGGTGGCTTTTCTTTTGTGAATGTGTTTCTTTGTGTTATATGGTTCGCTGGGAAAAGCCATGGGCTCTCATCAAAATTCCATTTGTATGTCCAGCTATAGTGTAGGAAAATCCCGTTATCTTTCAAGCAACTACTGGCATAGACTAGACTAGGGCAGAGGACACTATTCTCTAGGCATGGGTGATTTTTCTGGTGAGGAGGGGAAAGAGCTTGTTGATTTGTGGCTGAAAGCTAACACCCATTATCTGAACATTGCTTTTCTCTGACAAATTAGCATATAATAGGAAGCCATTGTGATAGTTATAACTACCTTCCTCTTCTATTAGTTTTTAGGGCTTCCCGTCCTCCAAGGCACCATGTAGACACACTGCCATAGACTGAAGGGGTTAGTAGAAAGAGCTTTGGACTTTGAGTCACGATATCTGGGTTTAAGTTGTTCCTCTTAGCAGTAGATGTGTGATCTTGAATCACTTGATCACTCTCAGCCTCAGTTTCCTCACGTATAAATCAAGGCTAATAAATATTTACAACACTTATCTCATGGTGGGTGTGTCTATGTAACTCATGTCTTGGGACTTCAAATTCTAGGCTTATACAAAATTCAGTCCTAGATTGCTATTTTTCAGTCACGTCTGACTCTCTGTGACCCTACTTGAGGTTTTCTTGGCAAAGATATTAGAGTGTTTCTCTTTTTTTTTTTTCAGTTGGGGTTAAGTGACTTGCCCAAGGTCACACAGCTAGTAAGTGTCAAGTGTTTGGTCTGAGGCAAGATTTGAATTCAGGTCCTCCTGACTTCAGGGCCAGTGTTTTATCCACTGTGCCACCTAGCTGCCCCTAGAGTGTTTTGCCATTCCCTTCTCCAGTTCACTTTACAGATGAGGAAATGAGGCAAACAGAGTTAAGTGACTTGCCCAGAGTCACACAGCTATAAAGTGTCTGTTGTTGCTTGCTGTTCATTCTTCATTCTCAAAGAGTACCATGACATCAGGAAGATGATGCCATGACTTGCAAGTGAATTGGGTTTAAGTGAGGGAGCACTGTACGAAGTCACCAGCCTCACTTTCTCCTCCAGAGCCACCTGGGTCCAGTGACAAGACATAAAGGGGAAGAGTAAGTGTCCGAGGCCAGATTTGAACTCAGGAAGATGAGTCTTCCTGATTCCAGGCCCAGCACTCTAGCCATTTCTCCAGCTAGCTCTTATCACCTCCAGTTAGAGTTGTCTCTGGGAAATCTCAGGATTCATTTCTGAGTATTGAAGGTCTCCTGTGATGTGGGTAACAATATCCTGAACAGGCACTTGTGGAATGTGCTTTAGTTCGCACCACAGAAAGTGCAGAAAACTAATAATATAATAATTCAAAACTTACCCATGGGTCTTGTTTAAATTATACGAATGAGCAGTCTAGGGCTAAAACTTTTCCTTAGATATGCCACAAAAAAAGGAACCCACATTTGGAAAATCAAGAAGTGATTATATAAATTTTACAAATTAACATTGGAGCTGAAAGGTGTAGTACAGAAAATATTGGCTGCATAAGCGTAGAGCTGCATTTAAATCCTAGCTGTACAACTTTAGGCAAATTAGCTAACTTCACTGGGCCTTAGTTTTAAAGGATTGTAGATTTAGCTCTGGAGTGACCTTAGGGGTCATCTGTTTTATCCTCCATCATTTTATAGACAAGAAAACAGAGACAGGATCTGAACCCAGATGTTCTGATTCCAAGTTCCATGCTCTATCTACTAAGCTATACTGCCCCTAAAGTTCTACTCTAATGCCTCATCCTGATATGGAGGTGACTCTGGGTTCTTGATGGCTATGTCAGTGAAGTGTAACGTCTGGTAGGTGCCACAGAGCTGCTCAGACTTCGAGTCTAGTCAAAATAATGAACTGTATGCCTGTGGTCTAAAGACCAGATTAGCTAAGAGTCTCATTAACAGGCTGGCCAAAAAGTGATGACTTTTTAAGCTACAGTAATTCTCTGAGACTGTTTGACAATTTATAGAGAGGTTGCCTTCTAGGTTGATGCCGGGAATTCTGAGACCAATAAAAGTATTTGTCATTCATTTGATCAGCATCTAAGTCTATGAGATTCCATAGACTCTGCCTGTCGTGGTTTCTTAGAAAAGATACTGGAGTGGTTTGTCATTTTCTTCTTCTGTGTGTCCCCATTTTACAGACGAGGAACTGAGGGGTTAAATGACACAGCTAGTAAGTGTCTGAGGTTAGATTTGAACTCAGATCTTCCTGATTCTAGGACCCTCTGCTCTATCCACTATACTACCTAATAAAAGGATAGCTTCCCCCAAATACTGAACTGTCTTCAAGAATAGCATAGAGCATTGTCAATTTGTGGCCATGGAAAGAGCACCAGACTTAGAGTTCTAGCCTCAGCATTTGCATTAATTTATTATGAGATTGTGTGCAAGTACTTCATTCACCTCTTTGGGTCTCAGTTCCCTCATAGGGAAGTGGATAGAATGTAGGACTTGGAGTCAGGAAGACCTGAATTCAAATCCTGCCTTAGACCCTTCCTAACCAAGTGACCCTGGGCAAGTCACATAACCTGTCTCAGCACCTACCTCAAAGAATTTCTGAAGATCAAATTAGATAACATTTAAAATGCTTTGCAAATTATAAAGTATTACATATAAATGTTAGCTATTGTTATTATCTGCAAAATGAGGGTATCAGATTAGATGGTGTCTGAGGGTTCTTCCAGCTCTTACATTCGGTGGTTCTCCCTGGAATAGTTTATTGAGGGATGTAGCGGGTTTGTCTGGGAGGGAGGCAATGGACCTATCTAGAACATGACTAAGACGGTTGCTGTTAATCCCTTCTCACAAGCGCTCTCTGCCAATCATCCCACCTTTTTGCTCCTCTTCTCTTCTCCTCAGCCCAGTTTCCAAGACGAGTGCAAATTCCGAGAAACCCTCCTGCCCAACAACTACAATGCCTATGAATCAGACCTGTACCGAGGGACCTACATCGCTCTGAGCAAGCACGGACGAATAAAGCGTGGCAATAAGGTGTCCCCGGCCATGACTGTCACTCATTTCCTGCCCCGGATATGAAGAAACTAGAAAGAAGGCTCACCTGGAGAGGACAACAACTTCTCTGTTTGAATTTTGCACAAATGAATAGCATCCCTTTCCCACCCCCACCCTGTGGATGTCCCTTGAATCAAGTGTTTTTAGCGTTCGTGGACATATATTTATCAAGAAACTGACCAGGAGATTTCGGCCTTCTTAACAACATTTGGTTGCCTTTTGCTGCTCTTTCTACTCCAATTCATGTGGTTTTCCTGGTGCTTCCTAGAAATGTCACCCGCTAGACACAGGAGGAGTGTCCCCATCTCCCAGAATGGCAATGTAGCCTCTGCTGTGATCTTATGCTGTAACAGAAGGTATAGATGTCTGCCATGGGATACAAGTACACACACGGGGGTGTGTGTTTGTGTGCGCATGTGTATGCATACTTATATGTCCTTATATATACAGAAAAGAGGCATTTCAAGGCATTGAGTTTCATTTCTCCTGGCTGCATGACTACAGGAATCTACCCACAAGTATGTCACTTGTCAAACAGTCAGGATTGATGGATGCTCTTTGATATGGCCTCTTCCCTCGATCTCTACTTAGAGGCCAGTGACTTCACAGCAAGCAGGGAGCAGCTGTCCTGTGAGTCCATGGAGTACAAGGCCAGAGATTTCAACTATGAACAGGAGGAATGATGATTAGACACGCAAAGATTCTTCACTCTAAGGCCCTGGAATGCATTGCCAAGGGAAACTGGGGGTATCTCCTTAAGAGTAAAAAGGGGAGAACAGCTGCCTAGAATGGTTGAAACAGACCTGCATGCAGGCAAAGGGTGAACTGAATGGTCCAAAGAGTTCCCTTTCACTGGGAAGGTTCTCTTCAGAATAAAGGCAGGGATGAGGCTGCCTTCCCATCGTTCTTCCTTGTGTTGAAGCATATCATTTGAACCTGAGATGGGAAGGAGCCTCATTTGGTAGCCTTCTCTGAAGGGACAAGGAAGGGGGTGGGAAAACGTTAAACTGTATCAGAATACAAGGGGCAGATATTGTGCAACAGAACCCGTCTCTGGAGTCATTAGCCTGGAGCTGGCAGAATGAACCTCTACAGGTCCACCCTTTCCATTTGGTCCAAGGATTATGTTAATTCTGTGAAAAATGAGCTTCTGACATCAGCCAAGCATGAGGTGAACCCTTGTCTGCTAGATTCCATGACACCCCCTGCCTTTTGAAGTGGAGGTCCCCAAGTCAACTATAAATACTGACTCTGCCTTCAGATTCCTGCCCTGCTGGAACACTCCTAAATCTAAAACCAGAATGAGCCATGTCAGAGTACAAAACATTCTCTGCATATGTGAACCAGAAAGTTACAGAATGACCTGACATCCCACCCTGCCACCATTTTCTTGCCCCTCCCTTCCCCTGCCCTGACTGGAAGACAATCTCTCATCTGTTGCAAATATCTTCAACCTCAGCATACCTCTCTATTTGCAGATGAACCCAACTATAAATAGACCTGAGCAGTGGGTATGTGGACCAAAGATGGCTCTACAGGACCCAAAGGCAAGAAACTATTCTAGCTATAGTCCTGTCTGTCAAATGCCAAAGACAGCCATGTCTCTCTGCTATTTGGAGACAGGGATCTGGGTGAGGTGACTTCTGGAGGCATCTTTTAGATTATTGAGTCAGTGGTGGTAGAAAGCATCTTTACTGGAGAATCCCAAGATGCGACTTCAAAATCTGGGGTTCAGCGGGCATTAGAATTCTAGCTGAAAGAATGGCAACAGAATGCTAGATGGAAAGGTGGTTGGTCATCTTGGTCAGGGAAAGAGGCAGGGTGGATAAGTCAGAGGATCATTTCCTCTCTTCTCATCTCTTTGCAAAAACTTGGCTTTATTGGAAGGAAACTCCAGAGAATGCCACAAGGGCCAAGGTTACTGCTATATCCTCTTGAATACATATTGGATGACTCAAGCTGCTTTAGATATCAACTTCCCTTTCCCAACCTAGGAGTGGATAGAAAATAAGGCCAATGAAAAATGTCATCTATAGGTTGCAATGGTTACTTAGGTATCTCTTCCCAAGTACAAGTTAGGTAGAAGTCAATTTAGAGCCTATAGTCAACCTTTGGGAATCATAATTAGTGAAATCTGCAAATAACCCAATCACCTTTTAGTAGACAAAAGCTTACATTTGTCCCAACTGATTAACTTTAGCAAAATGGACAGCTTGGATTTAATCCCCTCTTCTTTGCTCTGCCTTCTTTCTGATGAAGGTGAAAATGTGTCATGTGATGACTAAGACAAAGAAAAGAAGTAAGAAACTCATGTAATTCATAAATTGGAAGTCTGTCACTTTTTGGAATTGACTGTATTGACTTGAGGTCCCTGACCTGACTCTGACTCCCTCAGGACAGATCACTGTAGAGGGAAAAGAGTGGGTAACCCAGGAATGGATGAGAGGTGCCTCCCTCCCTAATACTATTTGTTCTTGATATATACTGTCCTAATTCCACTCTAGCCAGCCCCACAGAACCAAAGTGGTTGTTAAGAGGACTGACTCAGTCATGGGTAGGGGAAGCCAAGAACACCTTTCCCTCCCTACCCAATAAGCCCAGTCACTTAGAGGAGCTAAGAATGATTTAGACCAGCTTTTTCCTAAGTTCTCAAGAATCTTCCAGACATCTGAAAGCCAGGACTGGTTGGCCTCTCTTCTACCCATGAGGACAGGGAGGTGGCATTATTGCCTCTCCAAGCTCACAGGCCAATATAAAGAACAAAACCATCCGGAGGCATGACCCTGAGAGAAGATATTTCCTTAGCTGGGAGCTGGGGGTGGGGGTGGGGTGGGATGTTGGTAATCTTACTAGACAATTCTAGAATTGCCTGGAGGCTTTCTGCCTTTGTGAAGATCCCCTGTGGGAGTACCAAATGACTTTTTTTTAAAAATTATATCTCAGTCATGTTTCATGCACACACACACTCTCCCCAATATTCCCCATGAGTTCCCTTGCCTTCTTATATGTTTCCTTTTGCATAATCTCTCTTAAAAACTACTTTTTAAAACATTGTGAATCCATTATCCATTCCCATCTCCCGTCCTTTGCAATCTACCGAGGATTGTGATCTAAGAAAGTGATAATTTCCTCTTCTTTTTTTTCAGGTCATTGTATTATCACATTAAGGGTAGGTGACTTGCTACTCTTGTCTCTAGAAGTTCAGGGCACTGGATAAATTCCCCCTCTGGGGTAGTCCTATCATGGTCTCGTGCTAGTACGTACTTTTCATGATGGCTAATGGCACGCTTGGCTGCAGGGACTCATGGGCCTCCACTCCCACCTCCTCCCAAGACATGCACCAGTGTCTAAGTTCTGTCCCCTTTGTTTGTCTTGGACCCCAGCTCCAGCTATCCTTGCAAACTAATCTTCCAGGCTCTGTTTCTGTCCTCTAAGGCCTTACGATTTCAATCTGTCCTCAGGTTACAAAGGTCTTTGCCCTTTTACACATGGACACAGGTGCTAGTTTTCATTCATCTTTCCATCTTCCTGGAAACATCTGCTCTTCCCCTAGGGCTCTGGGCAATGAGTTCCTGGGGAGATGTTTCCTACCCCATCAGGTACTTGATGGTCTGTCTTCCCAAACCTAGTAGAAAAGCGGAGGAAAATCAGTAGGGGATGGGAAAAACTCAACAGATCATCCAGTCTTCCAGACACTGAAGTTATTAAGCAGTGTCCAGGTATACTGCTGCATCCTCATCATCCTCCAAGGAGTGTAAATACCTCCTTGCCCTCTGGGGGAGTCAAGCTTCTCAAAGGAAGAAGGGAGAGAGGTTAGCAACTGCTTGACATGTAGCAAGTGGCAAGCATTCCTAGTATTTTATCTATGCTCCTCCAACCACTGTGTGAATCAGAGGCCAAATGAAGTGCAGATATGTCTCTCCTACCACCTGGACACCTTAAACCAACTGTTTGTACTCAGATAAGTCCGTGATCTTATTGGTGTGGCCTCCATTGATGTCCATCACGACCAACCCATCCCTTCTCATTCTGTGATTCGTAGTCACTTCTTGGCATCTTTGATAGTGGATCTGCCCACCTGAAGCATGTCATCATTAGTAATGTACTACAACCTGCTCACCTCTACTATGCTTCTTTCCTTTGCCCCTTTGGGTCACTTGTAATTGTGATTCTTTGGAGATCATGGGGTACCATGATTCACAGCCACATTGCATGACTGGGAAAAATATTGGTGCTAAAAAGATGCACTTTTGTAGCAGCAAGCATCTTGACAATGCTAAGACATTTACCAAATGTGATTCTGCCCCCTTTCTACTCCTATTCAATTCTGGGCCCTCCTCATTTGCCCATCTGCAGCACCTGTCCGAGATATACCTCACTGAACAATCGCATTTTTTGGCGTTCCTTCTTGCACAAAGCTGGACAGTGTTGCGTCCTGACATTGTTTTCTCTTCCTGTAAATTAAGATATACCTCATATCGGGCCTTCGCAGTTCTAGAGGTTTGTACAACAGGTCAGAAAACAGGAGCTGATCAGTCAAATGTTAGTAAAAGATGTGATGCTTCTGTATCGTTTCAAATGTATGTGCTGTGCACAAACCATTTCATGTACCAATGGGAAAAAAAGCGGTCTTTTTATACATTTCTCTAAGCTGTTTTGATCCCCAACTTCTCCTCCCCATCTCCATCTTGTATCTCTCCTCTGTCTCCCCGTCTCCCTCCCCCACCTCCATTAAAATTAATGACAACTCTTTGGGTTGTAGTTGTATCTTTCCTTCAAGAAGCATGAGCTTGTCCTACCACCATATCTCTAGAGGGCAGGCAGAAAGACACCAGAATGGTTCCCTTGTTTTGCAGGTTGAGAGGATCAATCCATTCATAAGCATTCATTAAGTACCTACCATGCCTGCATTGTACTAGGCACCAGAATACAAAAACAAAAAAAATTTTCAAAGTTCCTGCCCTCAAGGAGTTTACATCCCATTGATGGAAATAACATGCATATAAACGTGTACAAAATAAACG